TCTTATTCTCTCTCTCTCAAATAAATAAATAAAATCTTAAAAAAAAAAGAATCTGACACTCTAGTGTGAAAGGCAAACAAGAAAAACAACTAGAATACAGTGTGATAAGAAGCTGTGTAACTGAGTTCACTTCAGTGGGAACACTGAGGAAATGCATGGGTAAACTGATGTTGCTGGTAAACTCAGTGGTTAGCCCAGGTGAAACTAACATCTTTGTTCCTCTTACCTCTTGTGCTGTTCTTCCTGATATTTTTGCTTTGTTTTAGCTTCAGTTTCCAGTGCTTCTTTTATCCTTTCCTCTAGTTGCTTCTTCCCCAAAATACAAGTGTCAGAGAGACAGACTTTTTGAGCAGGTTCTAATTTCTGCTACAGGTCCAAAATCTTGAAGGAAAAATTTCATGAATAAAACATTAAGAAAAGTCTGACCTTTTTTGCAATTAGGGAAATACCCTATGAGTAACTAGCAAACATCGTGCTAACAAACAAATCTGGTCTAAAGTAAAGAGCATGGCCAGATTTATTTTAATTTTAAAATAAATTACCTAAGTTTTACAATATGTGATACATTCACATAGTTTAGTGTATGCTTGTGTAAATAAAGTTATATAGTGAAAACTTCCCATTTCTATCCTGTCTTCCTGCTAGTTTTCCTCCACCACATAGGTAATCACTGGTATTAGTTTCTTGTGTATCTTTCCAGAGATTTATTTATGCCCACATAAATAAAAGTATTATACAGTTCTCCTCATACACATATTTTTTACACAAATGATGGCATATCATACATACTTATGCACCTTTATTTTTTGTTCTAAATTTTTTTGGGGGGAGGGGCAGAGGGAGAATCTTAAGCAGACTCCGCCTCAGGGCAGAGCCCCATACAGGGCTCGATCTCACAACCCTGAAACCATGACCTGAGCTGAAATCAAGAGTCGGAGGCTTAACTGCCTGAGCCACCCAGGCACCCCTGCACCTTGCTTTTTAAAAATAACAATATATTTGGTGATTTTTCTGTATTATATGATTATGTACAATTGCCTTCTCTTTTATAGCCGCATACCATTCTACAATAAGGATATGCTATAATTTATTTAAGTAGATTCCTACTGATGGGATATTGAAATTGATTCCAATCTTTTGCTAATACAAACAATTGCTCTAGAATAAATTATGAGATATGAATTTGCTAGGGCAAAGGTTATTATTTGTTTGTTTAATAGATAATGCCAAACTGGCTCCAGAGGTATTAGGCCAACTTATGCTTCCAACAGCAATGTATGAGCATGTCTAGTTTCTTCACAGTGTGGCTAGATTCACGATAGGATTTTAAAACAAAGCAGAGGTCTCCTACAAACCATTATTACCTATTAGCATATCACCTAGCACCAGTAATACCTTCTTCAATGCATTGGTAGAACTAAAAATAATACTTATGAATTTGAAAGAGAGATGTATAATTTTATTTTAGAATTTACATGTTAGATTAAAAGTATCATTAAAATTTTTTTGTTAGATAAGTCCATTTTTGTTTACCTATTTTTTATAAAGCCTTGTATCACCCAAAATTGCGACACAATTTTGTATGCTATGTACTGGTACATAGTAGATGCTCAATAAATATTTGAATGACTAGTTTTTAGCAGAATAGCTATTGTCTCTCGAATATATTCTTGATCTGACAATGCATACTTTACAATGGTTTGGCACCATATTCCCCAGAAACATTCACTGAATGCCAGTGGATGGCAGTCCTTTTTTAAGAGCAGGGCTTTATGCATCAGTCCTAGGTCCTTGCAGAGCCCAGGAACCACAGGAGAGGTAAAGATGCAGATTGATTCAAGGTCAGTGGCAGTGGACAGCCAGTCGTCTTGAGGCCAACTCAAGTTCCTTTGAACTGCCTCCACTTGGTTCTACTTAGGGAAAATGCTTCCTTAAAGATATTCACTCTTAATTCCACAAATGACAATATGACCCTGTTGGCTTCTCTACCAAGGACATATGCAAAGGTTTGAACCTGTCACCCAATTTAAGAAAAGAATATTTCCAATACTTTTGAAGTCCACTCTGGGACCTTGTCGATTATCCCCCTTGTATTAATCATTTTCTTGCTTTTTCTTGAATATATAATCTATATAACATGGGTTTTATTGCCCACCATTTTGACCTTTATATCAATGGAATCATACTGTGTTTTTGGTAATTGGTTTTTATTCAATATATGTTGAACTACAGCATGTACCTATAATTCATCTATTTTCACTTTTATGCCATTGTTTATTCTACCTTATGTCAGTGGACATTTGGGTTGCTTCCAATTTTCTGCTATTTGGAACAATGTTTCTATATAAATGATTTTATTCCTATCTCCTGACACATATGTGCAGTATAACACTTTCTCTAGTATTTATGCCCAGTAGTAGAAGGGTTGAATGATATATATGTCTTTAACTTAACTAAATACAAATGCCAAATTGCTTTCCAAAGTGTTTATACTGGGGTGCCTTGGTGGCTCAGTCTGTTAAGTGTCTGGCTCTTGATTTCAGCTCAGGTCATGATTTTGGGGTCCTGGGGTCAAGCCCCACGTGGGGCTCTGTGCTCAGCAGGCTGTCTGCTTGAGGATTTTCTCTCTCTCCTCTTCCTCTGCCCGCCCCCGCCCCCACTCTCATGTGTGCTCTCTCTCTAAAATAAATAAATATATCTTTAAAAGAAAACCAGGGGCACCTGGGTGGCTCAGTCGTTAAGCATCTGCCTTCAGCTCAGGTCATGGTCCCAGGGTCCTCGGATTGAGCCCCGCATCGGGCTCCCTGCTCCGCGGGAGGCCTGCTTCTCCCCCTCCCACTCTCCCTGCTTGTGTTTCTGCGCTTGCTAACTCTCTCTCTGTAAAATAAATAAATAAAATCTTAAAAAAAAAAACAAAACCCAAAGTGTATATACTAATTTATTCTTTCAACTGCAGTCAATATGAGTCCTTGTTGCACAAAATCTTCACCAATATTTAGTACTATCTAAATTCAGATTTTTTTACTAAACTTAGATTTTCTTACTAATATGTAATTACCAACTACTTTTTAATGGAGTAATAACATACATAAAATGCACATATCTTAAGCATACTGAATAAAGTTTTACTTAAACAAGCACCTCTCACATCAAGATATAGAATATGCCCAGCACCACAGAAGATTCCCTCTCATCCTCTCCCAGTTAGTAACCCTCATAAAGACAACCACCATCCTCTGATCACAGCTGAGTTTTTGTCTATTCTTAAACCTCATATAAATAAAATTACACAGTATGAACGCTCTTGTTCTGGTTTCTTTAGCTCAAAATTAGGCTTTTGAGCATCATTAAGATTGCTGTCATCTACTTTTTGATGTTTGTTTTATATTTATATGGTCTGATGAAATGATTTATTTACTTATTTTATGATTTTTTTTATGTGAGATTGGACTCAAACCCACAGATCAAAATGTGCAACTGTTACATACTACTGCCACCTGGTGTTAGACAGTCTGAAAAGCAGGGGCATTATTCCAAAACGTCCATTTCACAACACAAATCCCCCCAAAATTACAAAATAAAAATCATATAAAGAGATAAATGAGAGGAGAATAAGTCTTTTAAAAGTTGAAAGTATAAAACAAGAGTCAAATGGCTTTAATCAGTTCTTTAAGCTCACGTTATAGCTTCAACGAAACCTACCTTTTAAAGTTCACGCAGTTTAAAGAAACAAGAGATTTACTGGAACTGCAGGAGCAGATGAAGTCAAAAGAGAGGAGAGCATGGAAGAGCAAAGAAAAACCCTAGAATTCTATCAAGTTTGCATCATAGCTACTTCTTAAAACCCTTAGGGAAACAGGATTTCAGAAGTGGTATCCAGTGCATGCTATTTATTAAGCATGAGGATAATTACCTTTGCCTCTGCATCAGGACCTTTTGATTTCTCCTGAGCCAGCTTTTCCTGCAGGTTGTTCTGTGATTTAATGCTCTGAGCCTGTTTGAGTCCCTTCAGCTCCAGTTCCCTGATTTTCTGCTGACAGTGCTTCCATTCTGCTGTGAGTGAAGAGCACATCTTTGTGCTATCTAATAACTTCTGCTGGGCCTGCTTTAGTTCAATTTTGAACTAGAGGTGGGGAATAAACAAGAGTGATAGAAATAAGCATGGAAAGAAGATGAATGTGAGCCAGAACAAGCACTTTTCATAGCAGTGCAGTCCCCCAAGAGCTGACAAATAACCCGTGTCACATGGATGATTACCTCTCTGGAGCTGTCATGTGTTTGGAAGGCTTGCCAAAGTCTATCTAGCCAGATGGCAGCTGGACAGAGGAATTTTCCTAAGTGGTTCTATGCACGCATGGTCTGAACTTTTTCCATCCTTTCTTTTAATCTACTGCAAGCTGGCTTTCATTCCAGTACTCCATGAAACTGTTTATGCCAGAGGCACTACTGATCTCCCCACTGCCAAAATGAATCCAAAGGACAACTGAGCTCTTAGGTACCATTCACTCCCTCCATCTCAGAAAGTTCTCTTGGAGTCTGTGATACTGAACTCTCCTGGTGTTCTCCTATCTCTTTGCTGTTCCTTTCTGCTCCTTCCTGTGTAGACTATTCTAATGTGACCCAACTTCTAAATATCAGTGGACTACCCTAGGCCTTGAGAGTGGATCATTTTCTCCCTAGGTTCACTGTCATGATTTGAGATACCACCTTCATGCCAATAACTGTCAAAATAAAACTCCTTGAGTCTCTCCATATCAAAAATAATTTTTCTCTCTCAGTCTTCCTAATTTCAGTAAAGGATGCCACCATCTAAGGTTTTGTTCAAGTCCATAGTCTGAGAGCCATCCTGAGTCTTCCTTTCCCATCATGAGCCCATTCGGCACCCACTGGGATGCTGCCTCCACATGTCTCGCATCCACCCATCCGTGTCCACCACCCTTGTCTACAACATCATCGTCTCTAGCCTGGGTCATTGCAATAACAACGTGGTCTTGCCACTTCCATTTTAGCTCCCTTCTTATCTGTTCTCTACATTGCAGCCCAAGTGTTCTTTTTTCTTTCTTTCTTTCAAGAGTGAGTACATGGCGGGAGGGTGGGAGGGTTGGAGGGAGAGAGAGAATCATAAGCAGGCTCCACGCCCAGCATGGAACCGAACACAGGGCTCCATCTCACAACCCTGAGATCATGTCCTGAGCCAAAATCAAGAGTTGGAGGCTTAACTGAGCCAACCAGGTGCCCCCCCGCTTTTTTTCCTCTCACCAATCTCTTTTAAATCACAGGTTATTTAGTACCATGAAAGTAAAAAGGACCATCTCTATATTTAAAAATTGATGACTAACTTTTTACTAAAATTTTTGAGAATTTAAATGAAAAATGTCTATAAAATATACCAAAGTTGATACAAGAAGAAATAAAAGAATGTGACTTCGTATAACTATTAAGAAACTGAATCAGTCACTGAAAATCTTTCCAAGAAAACTCTAGAATCAGAAGGATTCAGAAATGAGTTCTTGAAATTATTTAAGAAGAAATAATTGTAATTTATTTTTACAAACTCTTCCAGAGAACAGAAAAAGAGGGTATGTTACCCATCTCATGTTAAGGGGCTAGCGTAACCTTGATGCCAAAATCTGACATGGATGTTATAAGAGAGGAAAATGACAGGCCAGTCTCATTTATGAACTAAGATGCAAAAATTCCAAAGAAACAGTGGCAAGCTAAAATCAGCAATGTAGAAAAAGGATAATAATTTAGGATGACGTTGGGTTTATCCAAGGAATGCAAAATTGAGTTAACATTAGAAAATCAGTCAATGTAATTCACCATATTAACAGATTTAAAAATCAAAATATGCAGAAAAAGAAGTTGATGAAATTCAACATGTGCTCATCATAAAATACTGAATGAACACTAGAAAAGAATTTTCTTAATGTGATTTTAAAAAGTCTATTAAAAAAACCTATAAAAACATATTAAATAAAATTTGAGAGCTTTTCCTTTGAGACTGGGAAGGAGAAAATATATCCATTATCACCAGCTCTATTTGGCACTATACTAGCTACTGCTTAGAACAAGAATAAAGAATGAATGGTGTAACATGTGGAAGGGAAGAAAGAAAATTATATTTATTCTTAGATGATGTGATTACTTACACATAAAATACAAAATGATATAAACATAAATTATAAAAAGTAATTTAAAAGTATGGCAAGTCTTTTATTAGAAAAAAATTATTGCATTTTTATGTATGAGCAATAGTTAGAAAATGAGATTTTTAAAAAGTTACCATTTACAATCATATGGAAAGTATCAGCACCTAGGAATATGTCTAACAAAAGATGTATAAGACCTCCACAAAGAAGATTATGATATTGGGAGAAATTAAAGAAGACCTAAATATAATACACACACATTTCGTAGAGGATTTGATATTGTAAAGATTTAAATTCTTCCCAAATTTATCTATAGATTTGGTGTATAAATTCAGTGTATAAATCCCAAAAGGTTATGTATGTATATATGTGTGTGTGTGTGAGTACATGTGGGTATACGCATGTTACTTGACAAGCTGTTGACAAAATTTATATAGAATTTCAAGTGGCCAAGAATAGCCAAGGCATCCTAGAACAAGAACCACAAGATGAAAAGATGTGCTCTATCAAATATTAAGATTTACATAAGGCTAAAGTAATTAAGGTAGCATGTTAAAGGCACAAGAATAGACAAAATAGGACAATGGAACAGAATAGAGAGCTCGGAAATAGACCACATATATACCAATATTCTTATGACCCAGGTAACAATATAGTCATGTAGGAGAATATCTTTACGTCTTTGAGGTCAACAAAGATCTCTTTCTTTTTTTTTTTTAAGATTATTTATTTATTGGAGAGAGAGAGAGAGAGCAGGAGCAAAGAGGAGGAGCAGAGGGAGAGGGAGAAGCAGACTCCCCACTGAGCAGGGAGCCCGATGCAGGGCTTGACCCCACTAGAATCATGACCTGAGCCAAAGGCAGACACCCAACTGACTGAGCCACCCAGGCATCCCTCAAAACATATATTTAGAGAGTGAAAAGATAAGCCATAGGGTAGAAGATGTTTGTAATACACACCTGATGAAGGCTTCATATATAAAGAATTCCTATAAATTAATGGGAAAATGAAAAAGACAGAAGCCCCAAAGAAAAGTAAACAAAATCTTGAACAGGTGCTTCACAAAATAGGGACTCAAATGTCAAATGTCAAATAAATATATAGAAAGCAGCTCAGCTTCATTTGTAAACAGGGAAATGTACATTAAAACTGCTAGGAGCTACCACGATACACATATATGAGATTAGCAAAAATTGTCAAGTCTGACAGTGCCAAGAGTTGGTGAGGATGTAGAGCAATATGGACCTTCATACCTGCTCGTGGGCATATATACCTTTAGCAGGAATTGAAGTAATATATAAACTACAGTGCAATAATTCCACTCCCACTCTCTTCCTAGAGAAATACATACTATGGATGGACATCAGGATGTATGTACATGGGTGTTCACAGCAGTTTTTAAAAAGTAGAGGCATTACTCAGATCCTTTTGTACATCTCACTATTTAGGAAAGAGTCTTATGTTCAATAAATGAACATATCTGAAATAATGTGCTCTTATGCTCTCTGTTTAAAAGCAAAGGTCCTTGGATAAAAGCTGCTCAAGCATCCAGAGCGCTAAGCTTATGATACCTGCTTTTGTATTAATTTCTGAAGACCAGTTATGCCATCTCCAAAAATGTTAACAGACATGTAAAAATGACCAAAATAATTTATTAAACATAGTAGAAATGAATGTGCAGAGAAATGAAGAAATTAAACCCTAGGAGAGTAATATGCCTTGATATCATTGGTGGTCAATGTAGATCAATAGGAAAAAACTACTGTAATAAGCTAGTCTCTTCAGTATTAAGGAATTATAGATCAAGCTTTAATAAGCTTCCTATTTTTCCAGTGAAAATCCTCCTTTATCCCCCTTGTCCCACCACTCTAAATCAGTTCAACCTCTCTCATTTTTTTTTTCATTTTCTCATTTTATTTTGGAGGATTGGTACAGCTTTCAAAACTTCATTGACAGGAACAAACCTATTAAATCTTGATGTCTTCTCAAAAGGCACTCTAACCCATTAGATAGGAACTTTCATTTTGCAAGAACAATGTAGCCACATATAGAGAAAGATATATGATTTCACTTATATGTGGAATGTGAAACACAAAACAAAACAGAAAGGAATTCATAAATACAAAGAACAAACTGGTATTACCAGAGGGAGGCGGGGGGATGGGCAAAAAGGTGAAGGGATTAGGAGGTTAAAAAAAAAACAGAAAGAACAATGTAGCGGTGAAAAACTCAGGCAAGACACACGCAGATCTAATGAACAGGAAAAGAAACAAAGAAATCAAGGAAAAGAAGAAATCAAGTGTTGGAATATTTGGTGCATTTGATTAGTTCAGGGTTATAAGATCTAAACTTCTTATTGTAAATAGAAAAGGTACAAGTCCTTTCATAATATATTGTCCACCTCCACCATAGGTCAAGAAAGCTAAAGGCCTCTGGGACCTGTGATCACTAGTCATAGAGCTAACATGCAGCATTTTGGTCATGCTGGTGATGATGGAATGAGATGACAGTGGAGCAAACACTATTATGGCCAATGACATGCAGCTAGGAGGGCTTCTTTGGCTTTAGGTTTGGGTATTCAAGCACTAGTAAGAGGATCCAGTACGGTGTCTCAGTGTTGGTGGCAGAACAGTTCTCTGCCTGAAGCTCTGCAAGCCTATAGCATTCTTCTTAATAGCCCCAAGCTGGAAACATACAAGATGTCCATAAACCATGGAGAGAATAAAGAATGGCAATTCCTTGTGGTGGAATACTATACTGCAAAGAAAATGGATGAACAATAGCTATACGCCACCATGTGGATGAACCTTCCCAACAAAGTAGGTCATAAGAAGAGAGACACAAGATGCATATACTGATTGATTATATATTTTTTTAAAGATTTTATTTATTTATTTATTAGAGAGAGAGAATGAAAGAGAGAGAGAGAGCATGAGGGGGGGAGGGTCAGAGGGAGAAGCAGACTCCCTGCCGAGCAGGGAGCCCGACGTGGGACTCAATCCCGGGACTCCAGGATCATGACCTGAGCCGAAGGCAGTCGCTAAACCAACTGAGCCACCCAGGTGCCCCTGATTGATTATATTTGTAAAATACTCAAGAATAGGCAAAACTGAGCTATATTGTGTGAGATTCATACATGGGTGGTGAAACTATAAAGTAAAGTAAGAGGGTTATTATAAAAATTAGTGGTTACTACTAAAATGGGAAGGCGATGGGATTACAATGGGAAAGAGGCAGGCAGGGGCTGTTAGTATGTGGGCAATGTACTGTTTCTCATTCTGGGTGGAGGTTATATGGGTGATCACTTTACAACAATTTGTTAAACTATATATTCATGTTTTATGTACTTTCTGAGTTTCCTATGTCATAATAAGATGGTTTAAAGGCAATACATTAATATTCTAGTTTCTTAATCAATAAGTATGTCTAATGTTAGCCAGAAACCCAGAGTTTGATCATCTCTGACTGGATTTTAAAAAGTGAGCTCTAAGTTTGCAAAGCTGAGGTTCCTAGATGACCCCAAATTGAGGAGAGGTGTAATATGGAAAGAGAATCACAGGAAAGAGAGAAACAGACCTGGACTTAAATTCTGACTCCACGATGTGTTAGCTTTGCAACCTTGGACAGTTTCTCATCCATAAAATGCTGACCTTTCAGGGCTGTAGGGAGGTTTATAAGAGATAAAGTGGACAAACTGTCAATAAAAGGTAGTTGGTTATTGTATATGACTCCATTTAGGTGCCTGGCTTAAGGAACCAGCCAAAACGCTGATGTCTCACTATTGAAATGTCCAGTATTTTACCTCACCATGAAGAGTATTTAAAACAGAACAAAAAATATCTTCTCCTTTTACCAATCTATCATTTACCCATCCCTGAAGGACTCACTCATTAATTCAACAAATATTTCTAGGGTTTCCAGGGTGCCAACCACAGATGAGGTGTCATAATCTGTGTTGCTCTGGTCATTACACCTTGAGAAAGATGTAGTATTGCTTGAACGTGTTCAGAGTTAGACAGTTAAAATGATCTCAGAAATGTGTTTGAAAGGAAAAGTGAAAGGCTGTCTTACAAGGAAATATGATAAAATTTGGAATTTAATTTAAAACTACAAAGGCTTGAGAGAATATGGTCAATATTCAAAAAATCATGAAGGGTGAGGATAAGAGTTTTCTTCAAATAATCCTGGAATACTAGGACTTTCTAGAAGGGGCTCCCTTAAAGTTTGACATAAATGACTACTTGTTTTCCTCTGTATCTCCCCTGCTGCTAGATTGAGTTCCTAAAAAATAGGGACCTTTCGTCATCCATTTTTAGGTCACTTTTTGAAGAAGGTACCTTGTTCACGCTACACTAGGTGTGACGAATTTTCCTATAAAGGGCCAGAGAGTAAATATTTTAGCCTTTGTGGGCCACGTGGTCTCCCTCAGAACTACTCAAATCTGCTATTACAGGGCAAAAGCAGCCATCCATAATATGTACAAACAGGTGTGGCCGTGTGCCAATAAAGCTTTATTTACAAAAACAAGAGGCAGGCAGGATTTGACCCATGGACGCCTACTGACCAGGGGATAAGAACTCTACCGGTTCTACCTACCGTTAAACCCTCAGTATCAACAAGATTGCCTGCCTAGATTATGACTGATGCTCAGTACATATTTGTTGAATGTTGAATTCCAGAACTTTGGATAGGGACTTATAGAAACTAGGTCCTTAATGTATGTTTACAGAATTGAACTTCAATTAAAAGGAAGCACTATTTTACATGATGGTTCAGTTTGAATATTGATGTGGTTCATAAAATTTAGATGAACTCTGTGGATGGCAGTTCTACATAGGTTATTTTAAAACAAGCATGTTTGGGGGATGTCCTCCTAACTTTCTGATAGAACAAGTTCGCCCTCCTATGAATTGTACCTCGGAGCAGTTGATATTTGATTCAACCAATAATAATGGATAAATCTCTTGGGGATAAATAAGTCTATAGATAGAACTAGGGCAGGACCTCGAGCGTTTGGGGTCAGGTCATTCAAATTTAGTAAGTGTTAAAAGTTTTAGCTAATGATTTCAAAAGATTGTGTAACTTAAAAAAGTTTGTCACATTTATAAGTTGACAATATACACACACCTTCAGCAGCAGAGAAACAAGTGAACTGTGTACCTACTTGGCAGGGCAAAGTCAGAGTGCTCACACTGCCCACACATCTGGGGGTCCTATCACAAATATTGCAGTTGGGGAATTCGAATTCGTTTATCCCCAGGGCCGATTAGCAACTGGACCCTCCGATCCAGGCTATGCCCAATAGAATTACCTTAATGCTTTCTTCCTGAAGTAAGCTATTATGCTGTTTCAAGTCCAAGTTCTTCCCTCGCTCATACCGGAGCTCTTTTTCAGCTGAGTTGCACAGAATCTGGAGCCGGTGAAAATTCTGACAAAGCTGATGTACATCCTCTTGCTGCTGGTATTTCAGTTTTTCTCCAGATGATGGATACTAAGCAAACATTTTAAAAGAGAAACATGGGGAGTTTGAAAGAATATTGGTAAAACATGGGTTCCAGCTGTCAGAAGCAGAAATGTCAGAACATGATTATTCACACGTAAATATTCTTGGAATTGGCTTACCTCCAGCAAATTACTTTTTTATACTTATGGCCATTTGGTACATGTTCATATAATTTAACTCCTGTTATTTTAGAGTGAAAATATCAACGAAATTATTTGAGCAAAGCAGTTAAGCATAGACAACTAACTTTCTTATTTTTCATACCAATGAAGGGAAACAGAAGCATGAACCATTTTAGGGTAAGACATGCTTTAAATCGGGAGTTCAAGGAGCCAATATGTGAAGAAGGAAAGCGTGAATGTGTATACAGTGTGTGAGAGTGTGTACGTGTGAGTGTGTGTGTATGTGTGTGGTATCTGTTGGCAAAAAGAAAGAGAACATTTAGCAGGAGATCTTAAATTCTCAGTCTTCCTCATCGCTTTCCTGTTACTATCACATGATTCTTCTTCAGTTACTATTCAACAACCACACACCCTCCTGCAGGTCTCCAGGGCAATAAAACCACCTTGACCAAAGGAGGAATCATGGGGTTTTCTAAAAGATAGGCTCACATAGGTGTGCTATGTAGATAAAGAATTCAACCTTATCCAATGCAATAGATAACAGATATTTAGAGTTTCTTGAGTCCTGGTCCAGTGTACTTCCTGCCCATGACTTACTGGAAATCCCATGTCATTAGTCTAGTTCTCTCTTGCTTGCAACAGAATTGTAACACAGAATTCCCCAAGTCCTGTAAAGCCTTTTAATTCCTGTCTTGTTTTAGTCAAAAAGGCAGTTTAAATCCAGTTTGCTTATCCTAGAGCTTCAAGTCTCTAAGATCCCTAGAAAAAAATTCTTTAATGGAATTATAATGTAATTATTAAGAACCCTAGCTTTGGAATTAGTTTCAGTCCTGAATCTATCTTGAAGAAGTTAGTTTCTCTGCTTTTCATTTCCTTCATCTGAAAATGGGGATAATAATGATAACTGCTGGATGGAGTAAAGGGTAAGTAAGATAATGCATGCAAGCATTTAGCACGATGCCTAGCACACAATAAGTATGCAATAACATTACCAAGTACTGTGGGTGCTACCCAGTTTTATTTTAACTGCCTTCTGCGTCCATCTGAAAACAAGATTTCTCCAGAAGCCTGGAAACCCTTGATCACCTGTCTAGCTTATTTAACTATCAGACGGCAGCTTTTAATAATCAATTAGTAACCAGTAGCCCAGATGGCCACTGAACACGCCCAGAGATATACAAGAGAAGCGCCCCCTTCATACCAATGTACAGAAGTTTTTAGCCTGTTTTGAAGATGAGAAAAGCCAGAACAATAGTTCTTCTTGCCTACGTTTTCTAGTCAAGTCACTTAGCCAGAGTAGAAATGCAAATTATTTTTCATGAAAGGCAAATAACTAGTAAAGAAGCTACCAGTTAGCCAATCAAGTGGCCCACATAAAGAGTCTCTATTTTTCCCCCACCACGTAAATTGCTTCCTGGCAGAAAGTTATTACAGAGGTGTTTAGACTCATTCAGGCTACTAGGAACCATGTAGGAGTGCAAAGTAAAGTACTTAAGCGTCCTTTCTTGACCAACCAACAGATTTATTTAGCCAGTTATTCTCTCTGAGTCTCAGCTGACTCATCTGCAAATTAAAGGCATAAGACCAGATGGTCCGTACATAATGTCTCTTCAATTCATAATTCCTTAAGACTTAAAATGAAACAAATTGGAACAACCATTAATAATCTTAATTTTATAGGCTTAAGATCTAGCTTTTAATATTTTTAAATATTATCATCATACAATAAAAATTTAATATGAACCAAAGCCATATACTGGTCCCGACGACAAGATCATTCCTTTTGTGGAAACAATTAAAGCCTACAAGACTTAAATACTCTCATCCAGTGGTTGTGGATGGAACAGGCTATCCAGCCTGTGAAGCTGTCAATCATCAAACCAAGTCCACTTGTTCAGACTCCCTACTCATCAAACATTCTTCAGATTTGGATTTGTCTTTCTCAGCTCTCTACAGGTGAATGTGTTGTTCATTTAAACATGTTCAAGTGTTATTTATAATTATTACAGATAATAATTAACTGACATTCCAGTCTTACCCTATAGTCTTGAAAGTTTGGTTTAATGTGAGTTTATCCCCAAGACACAGATCTATTCTAGGGGGACTAATGCATCAAGTTTTGGAAGCTGCAAGCCTAAGGGCCAAACCCTGAATAAATTCACCAAGATAATCGATAACAGACACCCTGGAGGGCTTTTGGGAGACAGCTTGCCAGCCTTCCTTAGGAAATTAGCTTTACATGAGAACTGTATGCTTTCTTTGAATTTCTCAGGAAGGGGAAGCAAATGACATAGGGGTTAAGAGGTCAAGTTCTAGAGTAGACAGACCCAGGTTCCACCACAATGTGTCATTCTGGGAAAATTACTTAACCTCTCTAAAGCCTCAGTTTCCTCATCTGTAAAGTCGCAATAATATCCTGTCTTGTTGTGTTGCTTAATACACACAAGGTATTTAGTATAGTGCCTGGAACAGAGCAAATATTCAATAATGTCACAGACAAACATGAAGCTAGATTTTTAAACCTATAAAATTAAGCTAATTATTGGTGATTCCAGTTTGTTTCATAAACACTGGGGAAGTAATAATCTTGAATTCAGCTATTACAACCTTACCTGGAATGCTGCTGAACAGCAGAAATTAAGCCACCAAAGGCAATCAGCAGTCACAAATGATGTCACAAATACATATGAACAATAGAGCTCACCTGCTGACTCATAAAAGAGGCTCTCACAGTTCTTTTTCTATGTATTTACCATCTATATGCATTCTTTAAAGTTTAATATCTGGTCTCAAGCTATAGTTGCTTAAATGTGTATGTTATGAGATTAAGAAGATACAGCAATAAGCAGCTAGGCACTCGACAATAATCCGACAACAGGAGTGAAGACCAAAAACTTAACATACACAAGAACTAAAAGGCAGAACAATTTATAGCCACCAGTACATCAAAGTAACCTCTACACAGAAAAAGTTTCTGAAATTATCATTGCACAGAACCCTGAAGAAAAAAACCAAACATCTGTCTAAAATGTCTTTTTTTCCTTGCCTGCTTAAAGAAGTAAATGAAATAGTGTGTGTGATACTGCTTTGGGACATGTAAAGTTCAAAATATAAATATGTTATTTTTTCCCATAAGGCCCACATCTATCTTGTTTTCTGCGGTATGTGTCCTAGCACAGGGCCTGGCACGTCATAAATACTCCATTAATAACAATCAGATAAACAAGTAAGAGCAACTTACCCTTCTTTCAATCATTCAAAGTCATTACTATGGAACAAAATTACTTAACTCTGCAAGAATTCAGTAAAACCCTAGAGGCTATGTGGTATATAGGACCATTTGTCTTTTCACAAAGTGGCTCTTCTCCCAGATGCCCCCATATAATTTTTATATATTTAATCGTTTATATATATTTCACCTCCCTCCTGGGTATTGACAGATGATTCTTCAAGTAATGAGAAAGGGTACATTAAATAAAATTAATAAATGAACCAGGATGTTACTTGTCATAATCTCCAACTCGTTGTTCTAGAAGTGCATTGATCATTTTAAGCTCATAAGTCAAGATTTTATCATCTTTGTGACCACAGTGTGCAGCCTCTGCCCAAGCCTCCTACACTGCTCACTGCCCAATAAAGGGACTGTCTGGGGGATTTAAAATTAACCTCTTTTTGAACACTTGATGTCATACTCCCCTTTGGTCTTCTGAATAAATGCAATGGCTCCCTTCTCTTTCAAACGTATCTGAATCTCCTTTCAGAGATCTATTTTCCTTCTTTACTGTGACTTGCCTCATTTTCAGACCCTTATATTTGAATCTCTTTTCAAATATCCTTTTGACTTCCTTTACTATTACTCTGCCTTTTTTTCCTATGTATACTTGAAGCCATTTTTAAATGTGTATTATCAGTCATTTAAAGTTGGTTTGTGAGGGCGCCTGGGTGGCTCAGATGGTTGGGCGTCTGCCTTCGGCTCAGGTCATGATCCCAGAGTCCTGGGATCGAGTCCCGCATCGAGCTCCCTGCTCCTTGGGAGCCTGCTTCTCCCTCTGTTTCTCTCTCTCTCTCATGAATAAATAAATAAAATCTTTAAAAAAAAAAGTTGGTTTGTGAATGTGTACAAAGGCCTCTCCCTCTGTGGATCTCAAGATAATTCCTAGAAAGGTATGTGTAGGGAAATCTTAATTTGTACAAGAGGGAACCTGCAAAATTGAGGTGTTAAGAGCTGAGGTGTGGTTGGCAGTCACTCCCTGATTTCTCCAGCAGGTGGATCTTGAGTAAATAGCAAAAGCCAAACTTAAAACAATTCCAAGTTCGTGGGCTTTTACCCACCCAAACTATTTTGTAATTCTAAGCCAGGCACGATGAATAGAAAATGTGGCACAAATCCTGCCCCACCCTATGCTGCCTCCCCGGGGCAGATGTTGAGGACCAATCAGCATTTCTTCCTGCTGAGCCTAAACGGAGCCTAAGAATCCTTTAGAACAAAGTGCGTCTGCTGACGGGCTTAGTTCCGATTCTGGTTGCTATTTTATTACCATTCAGGCCATGGTGATGATCTTGCTTAACAACATACATTAATGTTGATATAAAAACGGTGCTTACGTCCACAGCTGGCCAGAGGAAATGGACCTAGAAAGAGCGCATGTTGACAGCACCTACCTGGGCACTACTATCATCTGAACTATCCCCCGAGCTCTGAGACTGCAGGGACTCAGCTCTTCTCTAAGCCTCACGATTTCCTCAGGCTTCAAGGTCAACTGCTGTCCTTCAGCCTTCATATCTTGGTTCTGTGGTGAGTCCTCCTCCTTCTGCCTCTCTCTTGGCAAAGTGTCCTCCTTTACTGGCTCCTCTGCAACTTCCTTCTGCTTACTTTCTCCTTGTTCAGGACTTGGTACAAATATAACAACAGAAAACTGTCAAAATGCTCATTATAGTAGCAGAATATGGATGGAAAAAAAAAATCAACCAGTACTGCAAGCAAATTTTTCAACTTGAATTCTGTAGCAGAACAGTTATCTTACTCTTATAAATAAAATTTAAAAACAAATGAGTCATATTTTTTTTACTCACATTCAGGGAGATGACACATCAGAGATTTTTCTTTATACCAAATCTACCAGTTTAAGGGAGCTTTTCACTTTTTCAACATTAAGTATGGCATTGGGCAGACACAGCTTGTAAAGATTTTTTTTAATTACTCAATGAGCTCCAGGCACTTTGGCAGGCACTGGGGCTACAACAGGACATAATCCCTGCCCTAAAGGGTATACAATTCAGTGAGAAATAAGGATGATAACTGAGTAGATTACACTAGTAGTAAGTAATCTGAGGCCTGATGGATGACTAGGCACAAACCGAGCAAACATAAAGGTACAGGTGTGTGCATACTTGTTTTTTTTTTTAAAGATTTTATTTATTTATTTATTTGACAAAGAGACACAGCCAGACAGGGAACACAAACAGGGGGAATGGGAGAGGGAGAAGCAGACTTTCGGTGGAGCAGGGAGCCAGCCCAATGTGGGGCTCGATCCCAGGACCCTGGGATCATGACCTGAGCTGAAGGCAGATGCTTAAGGACTGAGCCACCCAGGCGCCCCCAGGTGTGCGCATACTTGTATGTGTGTGTGTATGTTGGGTGAAGGTGCTGGTATAGGTGGGAACAGAAAAAAATAAAGGTGTTCCAGGATGACTTAATAAATAAAATGGGTAAAAGCCTAGAGGCAAAAGAACGTCCTTTAGAAAGATCATTTGGGTGCCACGTGGTGGGAAACCAGAGATTGTTAGTGGTCCATGTGATAAACAATGATGACTAGAACAGGATGGTGGGGATGGAAACAAGCAGTGGATTCTAGAGATATTTAGAAGACAATATTGATAAAATTTGTCATGAATTGGATGTGACAGGAGAGGGGGGAAAAGGAATAATGGATGACACCTGGATTTCTGACTGGGGCAAATAGGTCGGGGATGGTAGACCAAGAAGGGGGAATGTGAATATAGATTGGAGAGATGCCTCTGGAGAACATACAGATACAGAAGAATGTGAGCAGCAGCCTTGGGATCGGGTAACAGGAGACAAGGAGAAGGGAGAAAGTGAGAGAAGGAGGACCATTGTAGACAGACGCCTGAAGACCTGTAAGGAACAAGCAAGAGGAATGAGAGCCAGGAGGGGAGGTTGAGAAGCCAGAGAGGGAGGAGGAAAACCAAGAGAATGTGAGCCGCAGAAGCCAATGGGAAGGAATGTACCTTCAACGGTCAGTGTGGATGACACAAACATGCCGAGTTTATTTTTATTCGTTCATTTTAAATTTATTTCAGCTACCTCAGAGCCTAGATAGCATGCTTCACAAATTATAGCTGGTGCTCAAATTCTTCAAGAAGGCAATTTGGCAATTCAGACCAAGAGCCATAAAAATGTTCAGATCCTTTGACTGAATAATTGAATACCAATGAATTTACTGCAACAGAATAATTCATAAGAAGAAAAGAGCTGAATGTATAATAATGCTCCTAAGCATACTATTTAAAACAGTGATTAAATGGAGACACAGGGGCGCCTGGGTGGCTCAGTTGGTTAAGCGACTGCCTTTGGCTCAGGTCGTGATCCCGGAGTCCTAGGATCGAGTCCCGCATCTGGCTCCCGGCTCGGCGGGGAACCTGCTTCTCCCTCTGACCCTCTCCCCTCTCATGCTGTTTCTCTCTGTCTCACTCTCTAATAAATAAA